GTTGCTGCAGATTTTATATATATAATATATCATATATAATATATATATATATACACACACACACACACATATATATATATACACACACACAATATATATATAACACACACACATATATATATATACACAACACACTATATATATATAATATAATATATATATATATATATATACACACACACACATAATATAACACACACACATACATATACACACACACACATATATATAACACACACACACACATATATATATACACACACACATATATATATATACACACACAATATATATATAACACACATATATATATATAACAATATATATATATACACACATATATATATATACACATATATATATATACACACATACATAATATATATATACACACATATATATATATAACACACATATATATATATACACAACACAATATATATATACACACAACATATATATATACACACAATATATATATATACACACACATATATATATATACACACACACACATATATATATATACACACATATATATATACACACATAATATATATACAACACACACATATATATATATACACACACATATATATATAACACACACAAATATATATACACACACACATCATATATATATATATATATATATATATATATATATATATATATATATAATATAACACATATATATATATATATACACACAACACACACAACATATAAAAAAAAATATATATAATATATACACACACACAATATATATATATATATACATAGATATATATATATATATATATATATATATATATATATATTTATATATATATATATATAATATATATATATATATATATATATATAAATAAATATATTTATTATATTTATATTTTTAATAATATATATATATATATATATATATTATATGAAATATATAATAAAATATATATATATATATATATATATATATATGAAAAAGTTTCCTGTTCTTTCACTACTTTTCATTTACGGTGTTCCATATAAATGCCATGTTTTGTGGCTGACTGCTTTCAGACCTGAGCGGTGTGTTCATGTGTTAGGTCTCGTTCCGGAATGTTAAATAAGATCATTTTTTGAGCTTTCTTCTGCCACCAAAAGAATTCAAATAACAAAATTTAATAGTTTTAAATGATTTCTGTTGTCTTAAAACATGTGGGTCTGTTTTGTTGCATGATGAGAAAAGGAAACCTGTCTTTTTTATGTTGCATCAAACTTTTTTTATTGTATTTCATCAGTTTGCCATTTTGACCAAAGGTATGTGTAAAATTAAATGTATCCTATAATTATTAAGATATATAAAACTTATAATGTATATTTCTTATTTTCTGTTAACTTATTTACACATTACTTAAAAGTTATGTCGCTATAATCATTTTTTGTATTTTCTCTGTAAGAAAACGACTTGCTAACCCTTTATTCCAGTGTACCTACTGTTAAGTATTTGTGCATAAATATATTTAAAATGCCAATTCAAAGAGAATAATTGAAATATCATATAATTACAGTGGAATTGCAGCATTTATCACAGGACCACACTCCGAATCCCCCTGTAACTGTATTGTCATGGGACATGTGCAGTGTAATAGGGCAGCCTTTTGCGGCTGGATTTATTATGAGGCAGACCAAGACAAGTATAGTTGAACAAGGTATTTATTTACCATACAGCTCACAAACATTGCATCTAATAACAACTGACAGTCTTAAATACTTTCAGCTGTCACAGGTTAAAGCATTATTCTATTAACAGGTGAGTTCTCAAATCCTGACCTTCCACCACATTATATAATACATCAACTTCAATAAAAATATATATAAATACATTTTACATTTTCATATTAATAAATATTTTTCACTTTATCCTTAAACCATACCCCTTATTCTAAAAACACCAAAAAAAAACCAAGCACAAAAGCAAGGCTGGACTGGGACAAAAAATCGGCCCGGGCATTTTGACTAGAGACCGGCCCACCAGGATAAAGATTGAAAATGTGACGTCATTCAGGGGTAAAACCGCAAAGGATTCTGGGAACTTGTGGCAAGAGGTACTAGCGCACGCAGGCTTTCAATTGAACTCAGTTACACAGCGATAAAAAGAAACCCAAAAAATGGCAAGAAGCTGTTGTATTATTAACTGCAATAGCCGGTCGCATGACAGCCACGGGAAGCCGACGGGTAAAGAGATCGTTTTTTTTATCGGATTACGTCGTTGAAGAGAAATTTTTTAAGCCATGTTTCCGAAGTAAGAGCCGACGGATGGTCTGGATATACCAAATATAACGTCTCAGAACACTCCAGCTCACATGTTAGTCTGCTCCAAGCATTCCCACAAAGGTCAGAGTTTTGTAGTAGTTAATACGTCATTTTTCTTAACATAATTGGTGATATAGGTTACAAGCAAGTCTGGCGCTGAACAGAAATTGTCGCGCTATGCTCCTTTATTTATTGTGCATAAATAGTGAATTGTCCTGACACAATATTGTGTTTCGCTTCTGTTATTACCATGGTACATTGACAAAAACATATACTTTTATTCACAGGATAAAACAGTTGTTTTGTATCACTAATTGTCCAGTGCGATTACAACATACAATATTATTGTCACTGCTACATTTCTGTAATGCTACCAGAAATTATTTCCACTACTAATTAATTACCGTTGAGCTCAAAGGTTATATTAATAAACGGTTAACGAATGTGTATTTATGACGACGATTTGTGAGACTGGTAAACTTACCTTTGTTCGTACGATGGTCTTTCGTTCTACACGGTGCATTTCAAGGTCCTGTACCCATCCGTCGGTAAACTGTACCTGGGCTTGTTGCAGTGACCTGAAGTTACTAAACTTCATGAGTGTATGCACTCACTCCAAGAACCGTATAATTATAAATATGAGCGTGGTGAAAGTTGGGCAGCACGCTAACGTCTTTTGTCCACTCTGTGTGCTCGTAAGGGTCTGACCCTTTCACTCCTTTGATTTTTTCCTCGTATCTTTTCTTTGTCTTTTCGTCGAGTCTGTCTTTGTACGGACCGGCATTGTTCTCCTTTTGTTTTGTACATTCCTTTTTTGTGCGGCAAAGAAAAAACAAGAAGGTATTGGAACCGGAGAATGAACGTTTTGCGGTGCTGCAAATGCTTGCATTTGATGCGGTACTTGGATTGTTTTGCCACGAGTTCCCGGCATGCAATGCGCGAAAATCACGTGATTGCTAAACAAGGGGGAGGGTGCATCCGGCCTCCTCGGCTGTAATTGGTCCAGCCCAGAGTCGATCATGACCAATTGGCCAATCCAACACCTTTCATTATATATACCCTTCCTAAAAAAAAAAAAAAATCCATCGGCCCATAAAAACAAAAAATCGCCAGCGGCCCACCGGGCAAATGCCCGGTATGCCCGATGGCCAGTCCAGCTATGCACGAAAGATTCCCACGCTCCTTTAACCCATGGCCTCTCCTGGAACCTTTAAATGTTTCTGGACCACCAGGAAAAAATTTGCCCAAACACCCTGGAGTGACACGGGAAAGAAAGGTGAGTAATAACATCTTACGGTCACTTCTTTGCACCACCTTTATTTCTAGACTTTCACACACACACACTATCATTAGTTATCCTTACAGGTAAACTTTATTTGCTCTCAATCACAAACTGTCTTCTTCACAGACAACAACCACATTTATTGATGAGGAGTAGGACCTGTAACAAAGGCTACCAACTGATTTTTAAATACACAATAAATACTCAATGAAAAACCAACTTGTGTGCAAATATTCTTCCTGTGCTAGGCTTAAAGTGCGATGCTGAATATAGAGCTAGACAAGGTTCTTTTAATAAAGCGAAAGGTGCTCCTAAAGTGATATAGAAATTATAATATAAGTGGTGGTAAGGTAGGCCTCTCCATTACATGCAGTAAAGCCCACTATTAGAGTACATCGTCTGGACCATTTCTCACCGCAAATGCACCACAGTGGCTTCACCAAATCAAATCAAATCACTTTTATTGTCACATCACATGTGCAGGTACATTGGTACAGCACATGCGAGTGAAATTCTTGTGTGCGAGCTTCACAAGCAACAGAGTTGTGCAAAATACAATAACATAAACAGGCAAAATATACGAATGGCTAAATCTGAAACTAATAAATATATGTACAATATATAATAGTATATGCAAAAAAAAAAAAATTTCTGGATGTGTATACTAAATGTTTTTCTACGTGTGTGTGTGTGTATACACATATTTTACAAATTAAATAGAGTCAACAATAAATAAAATATATAGAAATATACAGAGTACACATTTTGTACATGACGATATACCATTGTTGAGCCAGTGGTTAGCATTCTGCCTGTGTTCGGTGTGTTTGCTTTTGCCTTCCATATCCTGTTAGTCTGTATTACTTGCAGCGGCATTCCCTCCTATTGTTATCATGTGTGTATTTAAGTCCTGTGTCCTCCTCTGCTCATTCTTGTGTAACGTCCGTTAGCGCTGTTTCCCTGCATTCCACCTTTATCCTTCCGGTTCTAGTGTTTTATTGTTGTTGGGGTTTTTTTTTTTAGTATTGTTGTATTTTGTTTGAGTATTTTTTCTACAGCAATAAAGGTGGCTCTGAGTTTATTACCCTGTCTGTGACTCCTGTGTCCTGCCTCCCACTTAGTACCATCATGGCAATACTAACTCAAGACAACTGTATTCTGATGTGATGTCGTCTCTTAATAAACATTATTGTAACACTGGTGGTGCAACACTAGACCTGTTAGTGCTACTTCTTGCCTTCTTTGCATGTAGTGCGGGCAATATAGTTACCTTTAACCACAGTACGAGGACAGAAGGGAAATATGGACCAGATCAGACAGGTTCTAGATTCGTAGGAGCCAAGGGTGTATGACAACAGAGGACTTGTACACAGTAGGTGTAGAAAACACAATTGCATTTATTAGCAATTATTAAAGTTGTGCACATTTAACAAAAGTAGAGCGCTCTTCTTGAAAACAAAATAAAATAAACCCCACAAATGGTCGACCCAAGGATATATTGTCTTTTGTGTCTTTTTTAAAGTCAATTTCAGTCTTTCAATGTTCAATAGTCACTCAGTGTGTTTGTAACCAGTCGGGTTACAATCTACCAGTTCATCCGGCTCTTTGGGCTGGGCTCGCCATCCAGTACTGGAAAAGGGATCCTCGATTCTTCTCAGGTCCTCAAAACCAATCCAATCCAAATAAGCAAAGGGAAAAAACCTGACCTGGGGACCAGGCCAGAACACAGTAGTTCAACATTTAAGCTATCATGCCTGTAACTTATTATTACTACTGGTTGCTTGTAGTGCTTCTAAATTTCTTTCAAAATATTCTATGTTGTACAACAAATTATTCTCATTTCAAAGGGAAAAAGTGCATAGGAAACACACATTTAAAACAATACAAAATAGCTCAGCAGTGCATTAAAAATACACATTGGCTTGAGACTTATCAAGTTTCAGCTAAGTAAAGTGCAGGTGAAGGCACTTAATTTCACATTGCTAATACTTAGTGTGCAGAACTATAATTAGCACCATGAGAAAAGGGAACATGTGCTAACATAACAACATCGCACAAAACCATACATTATACATCAATACCACAGTAATGTGACATAAACCTTTAAAGAACATCTCGTATAAAGTGCAGCAGACTCAGTGCTAATTGCTTTAGCCTCAGAAAAGGCACTTTCATTGCAAAATGGCTAACGGAAGTTAGCATCAGAGCTAGCGGCAAGTAGCATGCTATGCTAGCGCACGTGTACTGCCTGGGACTTACCATGCAAAGCAACAAATGCTACACGGGGCTTCACAGTGCTCACGTTGGCTCACGGCCTCTGGAATACAGTATCACTCTTATTATTCTTGCCGAAAAAAGGACTTTCTATCCAGCTAGCTTCTTCGCCACACGGGTAAACTGATCTTTCACCGTCTGTGTCTCTGGCGTATCTGACTGGCACATGAAGGCACACAGGTGTCTGAGCAGCGCACAGACTGGGGGAGGGTCAGACCGGCCAATGATTGGTCGCTCAGTGGATCTGACAAACACACTCTACAGGACTAAGTCCTGCCCCCACACCATTTATACATTACATATACATATGTACATATTAATTAAACTTATGTTTACATGCTTTTTATCAGTATTTATTATAATTAACTTTGTTTTTATCAATATTTATTTATACTTTTAATCCCGTTTTTAACACTGGGTTACATTATGGAAAACCACACCAGTTTGCTGTGAGATGTAAAGCAGAAGTGATGGAACCCGAACATCCACATGAATAGCCAATAGCACGAGTTTTTAAGGGGCTTGCATGCATGTGTGCGCACACACTACTGGTAATGCTTGAGCAGCCTGGAAACAGTGGCCATGTTGAGCTTCAGTGTGGGTTGCTGCTAAAGCTATCATAAGATATAAGAACTGAGTTCAAAAGATAACTGTACTGTAGGTCTTTATAACGTGTGCTCCAATTATACTTTTTCACAATTTATTATCAAAACGGTTAGAATTTTAAATTAGTTTTACATGGTGCCATGGACCTCCTTTTACTGGCAGAGGGACAATAGGTTGTCACAAACAGGCAGTAAACACTTTTTTATTATGTGTGACAAAGAGTCTACTAAGGTGAAAAATTTGTTTCTTCTTCTATAATTTTCCAAGCATCTCCTTATTTGGAAATAACCCTTTTGCAAGCAACGCTGCCATTACCATGAAAAATGCCTCTTGTGCTCCAGTCTAGCCTGTAGATTTAAAGACAGGGGAAGAGTGCATTAAGTAAGAGCAGATTTATGGCTGAGGCCACATTGCTGTGAGGGCGTTCTCTCAATGTTTATGTTTGCCAGTGAATCCAAGACTATTCAACTATACACTGTTTAGAGTAAAATACAAAATAGAAATATGTGTTGCTAGTGTTGAAATCTCCCAATTCTTTGAATCTTTGGGCTGAAGGAAGGACAATACTCGGTGTATTTATGCTCAATCAACAATACTTTATTTCCATACAATTCAACACTTAAGAGCATAAGGACCATCATGATGGGGAGACATGCCTGAAGAGGGTCACCGCAAGTCTCGAAATGGTGACGTGTTACTCAGCTTCTTATAGCCGCTAGTGGCCCCCACCTAGTCGTAAAAGCCCAAACATTCACATTCTTTCTCCCTTACGGCGCCTAAGTTATGACCTCGGCTGTTGTTTCTCTACTCTTTGTAAAGGTGGGGGTATGGAATGTGGTCTATCTCCCCTGTCTTAGACACAGAGTCTCCTTCTGTTTATGATTCAGCAATAAAACATGTCAAGAACACAGTATGAGACATTCACAGCAGATCAAGGATACAGAGTGATGCACACTTATCTAATAAACTAATAAGTGAATATGTTCTTTTAACTCAAAAGTATAATGAGAACTAAACTACATACACAGCACACCATCTAAACTAAATGATAATATATGACCTACAGCAGTTAACATAATTAAACTATTTTAACTACAGGTGTAAGATAACATATGATAACAGAATAATCTCACACTAGTTATGAGATATAAGCTCTGTCAGTGCGCCCCAGGGTGGCTGTGGCTAAAATGTAGCTTGCCATCACCGGTGTGTGAATGTGTGTGTGAATGGGTGGATGACTGGATGTGTATAGCGCTTTGGGGTAGGGACTAGTAAAGCGCTATACAAATACAGGCCATTTACCATTTAAATGTGAGATTATTATATTATCTTATGCCATGTTATACCCCTAATTAAAGATTGTGAAATTATTATGTAGTTTTAGTTTGCATTATTCTCCTGAATTAGAAGAAGGTGATAACTATTACATTTGTTAAACTGATTTGTATTACATTAGACTGCTGATTTATTGTGAATGAATGATATTGTTTTATGATGCATTATACTGCTGAGTTATAAGAAATACTGTTTTTAGAGAGTCATGGCCAGAGGCTATAAGCGTTTGAGTAACTTTCCATCATTTTGAGATTTTGCTGTGACCCTCTTCATGCATGTCTCCCCATCCGGATGGTTTATACTCAAAGTGTTGAATTGTTTTTTTTCTTTAGTTTGCATGTGTTTTGGAATTTGCAAGTGTTTTGGAGTTTGTACGTGCTTTGTCTCTAGGGGCCACCGTAGGTATGGCTCTCAGCAAAACACATTAAGAACTGATTCCAAGAAACTAGCTATCTGTTTTATTGAACCTTTTCCTGTCTAAGTGGTTTTGAACCCACTGACTGTTCGGTTGGCTCTCCCTTGTAACATGAAGGTTCATAATGTTTTTCATGTCTCCCGGGTGAGGCCGGTCCTGACCAGCCCATTGTGCCATTCTGCCATCTTGAGCAGAGCTACTTCATGGTGTGGTTGGGCGACAGTCAGTGCTGGAGTATTGTACTAAGCCTAGTAGTAATCCAAGCAGCATGTCTTGAGGAAAGTGTGCGCCTGCAAGAAGAGAAACTTACCATTTGTTGTGATTATTTCCACTAGAAATAGGGAAGGAGTAGATTTCTTGGAGGTGAATTACGAGCACTGGATTATTTCTGGACTCGAGTCTGCCAAGTCCTGGTTGGATCAGGTCAGTCAAGTTGCTGAAACATCTCACAGATGACCAGTGGAAACAGGATGCACCTGAATCTTTTTCACTTTATGAGGTAATTGTGCATACAATTTTCAGGTGAAAAAATACCACTAGATAATATTCCAGCACATGTTTTAGAGCCATTTAGATATTTATAGATATAGTTGAGCAATCTAGGTATAAGGGGGCACAAGCCAGTGCATTTCTAGTGCTGGCAAATTGGTGAGCGATATGAAGGGCATCCAGTGTAAATTGGTAAGGTTTTCCATGATAGACTGGTCGAGGTCTGAGTTTCCCGTGACTGCGACGGGTCTTGCTTGTCATCATAGCACTACTGCAAACTGTTACTGCTGGAAAAAGACAAAGGAAGAGGAAATACATGGTTTGGATACATGGAACATTTCATCACTCATTCAAGAATCACTCATCCAAGAATCACTTGGATGAGTGACAAAATCGTTTCTCCCACAAAATGCTACGTCCAGATGAACAGAATCAACTTTTGGAGAAGGAGGAGCACAAGTTCAGGCCAATGGAATTGGATTTAAACTGTTCTGCCATCTCAAAGACAGGAAACAAAAGGTACTTGTGGTAATTTCATCAAACGTGTGATGCTGAATCGTGTCAGTACATATACAGTGGGGCAAAAAAGTATTTAGTCAGCCACCGATTGTGCAAGTTCCCCCACTTAAAATGATGACAGAGGTCAGTAATTTGCACCA